AAAAAAAAAAAAAAAAAAAAAAAAAAAAAATTACATTCTCCTCTTTAAAAAAACCCACAAAAAACATGTAAAAATTTTTTTTTCCAAAAATGAATTAGCCATTAGACAGAATACAGTTACATAGATACATATTTTCAATACCGCACATTCAATCTGCCAAAAAGAAAAAAAAGGGTAATGATTACAAAGCCAACGAAGATGCTGCCATATATATAGAGAGATGTATGTACAATGATTATAGCATTCATAATTGCACTATGCCTCAATAAATGTAAATTACAGGCTTGTGTTTTAGGGAACTGTTACAAAGAGAAAGTATGTTTAGTAAATTTGGGAAATGCATGATAAAGAGATGCCAATTCTAAACATAAAAAGAGGCTTAGTTTGGTACAAATCAACACTCGGACCCTTTTAAATAGCAACTAGCCAAATTGATTATGACAACAGTCAACATAGCCGGGCTGTGATTGGACACAAAAGGTACAGCTGATCTGTGACTGGACAACATGAAGGCCTATGGCGAGGAAAAGAAGGCTTTTTTTTTGCGCTGCGCCAAGTTGTGATCCGACAAAGTTCAGTGAGGTGAAAAAGGCTTGTATGAGTGTGTGTCAGTGTGTGTGAGTGTGGGTACAGGTGGGGGGTAAGAGAATACTTTAAAACCTGCAGGAATCAGCTGGCTAATCAATACGTCAGTCAGTTAAATCCATCAGTCTGTTCCTTCTGTGCTAATGGCCTTGATCGTTCCTAAAACACTTCGTCTCATGGAAGTAGCTACCAGTGCAAAGTGGGAGTCTGGTGCTCGACTCGTTTTGGCATCGGTGAGAAAACACACATGCTCTGGTAGGAAAAAGCATCATTGTGGCACAGTGGAACATGGACATTTATTCATGTTGTCTCATAAATTATCACCTCCTTCGCCTCCGGGCAGTCTGAGGAGAGAGAGCGCCGCAGACGCTGCGACTCCTCGACGATGTGACGGAGCTGCTCTGATGGCGTTTTTAAATCAAAGCCAGTTCCTCGTTCTGCTCGGCAACAGATCAACCAAAAATTCCATTCCAAGGAATGTGCTTCCACAGTCTCTCACACTCGACTCATCRAATGGTACCAATGCAATATAACAATAATAATGATAATAACGATGATTCATGGTAATCAAATCAATCACAAATAATTTAAAAATTACAGTTTATGCCTACTTAACAAGAGACTTGCCAATCTGTCTGTTAAAGAAATAATGGAAGCTGACAATTAGGCTATTACATCACTTCCTGTTAGGTGAATGTTCATGTTGGACCTCCAGAATGAAGCGACGGGCGAGCGGGGGGGGAGGTTAAAAAAAAGAACCCAAAGAAAAAAAACATCTTTTTCTTGGTTTATAAAAAGGCAAGAAGGAACGGAGCACACTGCATTCCTTTGAAAACATCCCGCCTCCCCTCCTCTTATTTCCTATCAACCCCAGATTGAGCAAGATAGCGTTTATCACTCCTCGGGGTCCCAGAGGTCATTAAATGGCAGGTGAATTTGTATTATGCAACCGTTAGATTATCATTTTTGTCTCAGATATTTTTCTATACGTGTGTATGCGAGTGTGTAATCTATCATTTCACAGATTGAATCAGTCAGTGTGTGTCAGGGGCCTGCAGGTGGAAGCCCCGCCCCACCTCGCTCTACACCAGGTTGTACTCCTTCAGGTTGAGCTGCAGGATGGTGTCTTTGACGGCGGCAAAGACGAAGCGGATGTTCTCCGTGTCGGTGGCACAGGTGAAGTGGGAGTAGATGATCTTGTCGCTGTCGGGGTTCAAGTCCACGAACATCTTGAGGATGAACTCGCGAGCTGCTTGGGCATCTCTCTGCGGACCTGAGCGAGGAAACAAAACKAATTACGATCCAGCATTAAAACTGTTATAAACAGCTAAAATACAACCAGTCAGGGTAGGCGCTATGTTGTGCAAATTTAAGCTTTAATGGTACGCGTCTATCTTGTGAAAAAAGAAGCCGACTGTAACTATACAATACCTGAGACCATTACTAAAAACGTCCCTTTTTTTTTTTACCCTGGCTATAAAAGCTTCCATTACTAAKAAAATCACAAGCAGGAAAGAAGTAAATGATTTAAAATATTAGATAAAAACAGATAAGTATTTTATTAAAAAAAACAAAAAAACTTTAAACTTGCAACTCTGTCTCGTGACCAGCAGGGGGCGACAATGGTTTTAAAGTTCACAAGAAAACAAACACCTCTCATGTGTGATGTCTGTAAAAAATGGTGTCTTCATGAGTTAATTAAACCACTAACTCCACAGCTTTTTTGAATAGAAAATATTTTATGACATAAATAATGGTCCAGTTTAAAATAGAAATAGTTTAAAATTAAATAATTACAGCAGGTTGTGGATGACAATTACAAAATCCGACTTTGTGCTTCAGTTTCTCCCTGACAGATGTTTTTAACTGAGGACCACATACATGTAATAAAYGACTACTTGATGCCTTAAAAAGTCAAACACCTGCCTGGTAGCATCATAACACCATCCAGCTATTTTATACATTTTTATGCAATAATAGCAACTTCATGTCAACATCAGTTTTACTGGGTCGCCAAGAGAGTAAATAAGAACAACAAGGTGGTGGCACTTACCATCATACTCTGGGAAGTAGTCCACCAGATGAGAGTACATGATCTTCTCCTCCAGCAGGTCTTTCTTGTTGAGGAACAGGATGACMGAGGAGTTTTGGAACCAGGGGTACGTGATTATCGTCCTGAACAAGGCTTTACTCTCTTCCATCCGGTTCTGCGCAGAGGACAGGAAATGTGTGAGTCGTTCATGAAGAGGWGACAAGAGAAGACAGACGGACAGAGGTGGTTAGTGGCTTAAATAAAACACGGTGTCTGAAACTCATTAAGGGAAGATTTTAATAAACGTTTCAACACAGCAGTGTGGGGATAGGAGGAGAGAAGGGCAGCTGTGTCATTACTCCCCTGCACTCGATTTAAAAGTTTAAACAAAACCACTCTGAAGCCGTACATGCAACAAAACGGCATATTTATGGGAGTCCTGTATAAATTTAAGATAACGTTTAAGATCAGATAAGAGGACAAACAGCTGGTCAGTTTTCTTGGCATGTGCAGGAGTAAAAGAACAAACACGAGCAAGAAACCACAACAAGCACCTCAACGCACATCTGCTCCCAAACACGTTTTACATCAAACTGACACAGATGCTGGATCCTTTTAAAGGAGCAGCTGTGGCCTGAAGCAGCGTTCAGAACAGCTGGCTGATCATTTACCAATGCTTTCTGAGTGCTGCACATCCATGTGGGATAAGAATCATTTCCATTGTTAAAAAAAAAAACAAAAACAAAAACAAGGGTTTTCATTTCCAGAGTCGTTTCAGCTTCTGCCTCACATAAAACAGCAACAAAAACTGTTCTAAGAATCTCATTATCGAGACAATTACACCGAGTTTCATCGACTCAAATCACCTCGTTATCCGATTCCACCAAAACCTGGTCGTACTCGCTGAGCGCCACCAGGAACATGATGGATGTGACGTTCTCAAAGCAGTGAATCCACTTCCTCCGCTCCGACCTCTGACCTCCGACATCCACCATCCTGTCAACACAATCCAGGGCAGAGTCACTGGGACCGCCTAGTCTGATTCAGACCCCCTCTGGGTCGGAACTTCAGGAGATTTTGAGGGACTAAAATGTCACTTTTTGGAGGTGAAGATGATTCAATGTGATGACGGTGAAAACGCTTAAACGTATAAATAATCACCTGAATATAACGCTCTGCAGGTCAAAGGGATATTCAATAATGCCCGTGGTCGGGACGCGAACCCTCAACACATCCTGCTGCGTAGGAAGATAGGACGGCTCTGCGATCCGGTCCAGTGCGTTCAGGTAACTAAGGAGGCAGGAAATAAAAATAATTCAACGTCTCTGGTGCATCGTAGGTTAATTCTCTGAGTCTGAAGCTTTACTTTCTGCCACACTCACTATTTAGTAGAGTCCGAGAGCTGGTACTCCCTCCTTCGATCGTAGCACTCCTGGATGCCCGGGTCGTTCCACAAGCTCTTGATTGCGTCTACGTAAGGATTCTCAAACATGTTGACCTTTTCTACATCCACCTCTCGAACAATGTTGGCATTCCCCTGAGGAAAAAACAAAACAAAACACCCAACAGGAACCATGTTAATGTCAAGCCCAAAGACTTGCACTTTATTTTTCTCCAACGGCATCATAAGAACAATAAAACAATCACCGCAAATGTTGTGCTGACCGGTTGTTTCATGCTCGCTCGTTTATTTCATGTCCCGAACTTTGTTTTCAGCCCAAGGCTCAGCGTGCAGCTAATATCTGAAGCCCAAACCCCACCAGGGCTTTTAGGGATATTAAGGGGAAAGTTGTGCCGCGCCAGATTCCCATTAAAAAGCCTTGTGTGCGTTGTGTACGGCAGATCAATATGTGCCTGAATGCTGAAACCATTTCGCACGAGAGGCTTTTACGTCTAACAAAGAAACAAATATCAACCCATGTCAAATATGAAATTTACATCTAATGATAATTCAAAATTAAAGGAATGCATATCGCCCGCTGCCCTTCGAACCTTACAAATGACATTTTACAGGATGTCACGCAGTATTTTTATAGTTTATTATTRTAAAATTAGCAGAGTTACAGACACTTTTGTGTTCGCTAAGGTCAGTTAGCCATGGCAGCCATTTTGAATTGGGCTGACTCCAAAAGTCAAAGAGTTGCACTACTTTTAATGATGTAATGTATATTAAAGGTTTTAATTAAAAACTGTCTAGTAGTTTTACAGATCGTTTGCTAATAGATAAACAAACACACACATAAACATTATCGCTGTTTGGGGTGGATAATAAATATCCTGAGTTACAGTTAATCCTGAAAATCTAAATGTAACAAAAAAACATGACAGCTAAGCATCCAGGCTTTTATTTCAGCTGTATGTGGAGCAGCTGAGTCAGCATAATGTGCGCTGAAATGAGTGGTGATCATGACCCGGAGTGCTTCTTTAAACAGGCAATGAGTTACAAGCCTCTGATAGAGACGTTTACAGTAAATGACCAGGAAGACAGTGAAAACATGACCGACRGGTTTCAGTTTCACTTCCTCTGTAATGTCGGGGAGCTCCTTTGTTAAAAGGCAGACACTTCCCATTTCAACATTCTGTTGCACAACATTAATGAAAAGCACATGCACAGACTATGACAGCCACAAAGAAACTTTTTTCTTTTAATAAATTCATGAACACGTTACTTCTGTTCCCTAAATTAACTTGGCTGCTTAATTAATTTCCATCCATCATAAGTACAAATACATTTCAGGAACTATGCAAAATACTAAATGTCTCAATTCTACTCAAAGACTGAATGTTATTGACAGAACCATGGTGYCCCTGGAAATCAAAACAGGACCAGCCGTCCCAGAAAACGTCACACTGCGGATACCGTATCACATAGCTGCTGTCTTAAAACAACTCCAAAAATCTAACCATAGTTCAGGGCTATTTAACTAAATTGTTCTGGGGGCCACTGCCGGTCAACAGCTGAGGGGCTGAACATCCAGCAATTAAAGTTATTTTGTAAATAMACCAAGTATTACAAAGATCTGTTACCTTTGAATCAGTTTATTTTGCTGCATTTAATCATGAATACAACATACAGAACCCTATAAAWGTAGYRATAATTAAACATTATCAAAAACAAAAAGAACACATTTTGCCTCCTATTTGATACAAATAATATTTTAACATCTCTGACTTGCCAAATTTTTAAACCAATTTTATTTTCACTTTMATCATTTTATCTTCAACTGCTTGTAGTTTTAACTGTCTGTCTTGAGTGTTTATAGAAATTGTTTTTRCCAGCTTCTAGCCRAGATTCTGACGTTTCTGTAGATACCAAACATGTCTATGTCTAACTAAAAGAACTTAGAGTAATTAAAGTAGAAAAGCGGGGGTTTGRGCTTAAGAGATGAAYGAACCAATTGGCAGGCCGAACTTTGGTCACTCAKGGGCCGGATGTGGCCCGCGGGCCGCCAGTTGAATAGCCCTGCCGTAGTTCATGCGAACGCTGTTTTACAAAACACCTACTTTGTCATTAATTTCACATTACACAGTTATTTACATAAAACTCTAAGGATAGCTGAAAGCACAAATTACTCCAGCAGCAGTGAGCTAAAGCRTGGCCAAGCATTGTAACATTTCTGCCAAGCAGCCATGTAACGCAGAATGGACAGCAGGATAACATTTCTCCAAACTGAAGTTACCCAAAATGTTATTTCCTACAGATAAGATATGTTTTTCATAACGTTACTTTAAAAAGCTCTGAACTATTCCTTTAAAAAGGCAAAAACTGATTGTTCACCGTCAGCAGAATTTGAACCAGAGTTGAATCCAAACTTTGGGGTATTTTTAACATAATTCTGTGTGCGCTTTATTTTAATCACGTCTCTCCAAAAGTTTTCAGGCAAACATTTGAGAAACTGCAGCCTGGCATGAAGAAACTAAAGCACGTGGTCCGCTGACACCTGAAATGGTCTGATTATTCAAAAAAAAGGGTTGCCACAGTGACAACTCCTACGCTCCATTTTCCTTTCATTTGTCAGTCTTGCAGGGAATAAACTGTAAAGTAAGAGGTCACTGCAGCAGCTCCCAAAGCTACGACCACAAGGCCGACTCACTGGAAAGAGGAGGGCGAATAAAAGAGCAGCTGAAGTGATGGTTACAAAACACAAGGGCATATTTAGGTGAGTAGTGCCGGGAAGGTCTGCCCCTCTTTCTAATCTCTTGTGTGTTTATGTGTATAGTGTACAGTATGCACACATGGATTTGCAAGCAAACATAGATATACGAGGGCTGTGGAAGGAGTGTCTGAGTGCTTTCAGGACACAGGAAGTGTAAAAACCAGCAGGAAATTGTTATGGATGGCTGTTCCATAAAAGATAGACCGCTATCTAAAAATATGCGCGCATGCTTTGGTCACTCTGCAGTTTCTCTCTCAAACTTTCTGTCACGCTTTGCCGCGAATCCAAACGTCACAAAGAGCTGGAGCTCAAATACCTTGTTGTGCTCGTATTTGTAGGGGATCTTGAGAGTCTCCATGGCCCGGATCATGGCCTGCATGGACGTGAAGATGTTCTGGTAGACCAATTTGGTGAAACCTCGTTTGTCCTCGTCAGAGTAGCCCGTGCCGTGGATAATCCTCATCTGTTTGATAAATGTGCTCTTTCCACTTTCACCAGTGCCTGAGAATTTACACAAGAAAAGAAAGACAGTTATTATAGTTCGATTTGTTTGACAGGGTTTCCTCTATTCACACAACATTCTACATGTATTAACATTTATTTACGTGTGTATATTATAGCTCATTTGCACTGTCAGCTCTGGTTTTAGAATCTACTTGGCTGAGTGGAGCTGAAGATTCAACGTCAGCAGACTGCAGGCCATTGATTGGCCAGAGAGCAACATCAATTGTGAACATCCCCTTTTGTGAAACCTTACAACTGCACCATTTTTTAAAATTTACGTTTTAAAATATTCATTAAAATGGCAATAATATGGTAGTATGATGAGATGCAGACATTTTCTTGCTTTGTAAACAGATGAAGCTTGATTTACAGGCTCTAACTGGCGCAAGGTGACCTCAAGTCTGCATTTCTGGTGATGCTGGAAGAAAAGGCAGAGAAAAGGGGAGAGTTTGTGACTATTTCTCTTTTATTTACTCATTTTTGGCTGCAGTATTATAATTTTTTGATGGGAAACCAGTTTTCAAAACTTTTAWTTTTTCACCAAATATAAGACAAACATATTCAGGACTGAAATTAAAGAGCTTGTATTTCCAATAGCCCAGACAGGCCGTGTTCTATTTGAAGCACTGATTTACATCAATGTATGCCATGTAGTAAGCCAATTTAGTTTAGTTTAAAGAATTTTAGCAGCTAAATGTTTCACATTCAGAAAAATGTTTCAGAGACTGGTTACGTGGTTTTTACATTTTTCTTGGAAATAATTATTTTCCGGAATAGGAGACTGATCCTAGGGCATACCTAATCTGAACACTCACTTTAAGATGTTACAAATGTTGTGGCTGTGAGATGTTGCCCTCATGGGCGTAACCGCCATAGGCACCAGGTGGGACGTCCCCTCCACTTCCAATATCTGGTGAAAAGACCAATCACTTCTCCCTCCTCTGAGTGAATACAGGAGCAGTTTGGGTGTGAAGGACTGGGGCTGTACTTTCTCTTTGGTTCATTGAAAATTTTGGCAATGGTACAGGCCAAGTCTACCTAAACTGTAAAGTAAAAAAACCTCAAAACAGAAAAAAAGYGTGGTGTAGAGTTACAGTGATACACTGTATTCTTTGGTGCTGCAAACTTTATCAGCATGGGTAAGTAGAAACAATGTGTAAAAACATTGAGTTCTTCTGATACCATTCCTTCTCTGTAGCTATTTATTTTCCAGTAGTGATGTTGACTGTTCAGAAAAGGAACAGAATTGTGCATTTATTACCATTCAACCTTTCGACAGCGCAGCAGCCATAAGAGTGGAAGCTGAAGACAGACAAAAAACAAAACAAAACAAAACAAAAAACTGTGTACTGGATGCAGCATGTCATTTTTACAAACTAACACCTGTTTTTCTCCTGTCTGCATGACATCACCACCTTCAGATTGGGTCTTTGGTAGGAAAGTTCACAAATTTGATGCATCCCTTTTCAATGCCCCAAACTACATACTGTAATTTGACAACATGGCATTCTAGGCGAAAAGTAATATCCTAAACAKAGGTATAATTTGAAAAAGTTTGAAAATGAATACAGCTAAACCAAAACATGTTCATCTTCATGTTACTGGAAGACTACTTGCAGTAACATGGACATGTTTCGGTTCAGCATTTTAAACCTTTCTCAAATTACTGTATACCTGTTAGGATGCTTTTATTTTAGAGTGTAAATAAGGGCAGTCAACAAACTGTTGTTCGATTGGCTGCCCTTATTTACCTTCCCCGCAAAAAAAACCTCACAACATTTAAAAAAATAGAAGTTCAAATATTTTTGCTCTTTCATATCAACTCCAAACTGAAAATAGTTTTTGTATGTTTCAATAAACTCAAGAATTGAGCTAAGAATGCACTGCTGCTAATTTTTTTAAACTTTTATTTTCCAATTTGTATAGCTAACACCTTAAAATCCAATGAAGAAAGCCATTACTGAAAGTCAAAATGTATATAAAAATAATTCTTGTTTAAATATAACTCACACAAGCRACAACTCTATTACTCTACAAAAACGTCAAAACTCAGATGAATAACCCCTCGCTGAAGGTTGGTGTTTACTTAGCCAATATGTAATAAAAAGAATTGTTGTGTGAGTGAGTGATGTATTAACTGGCTCTTTAGGCCATTATCTGCAATACAGTGTTTTAATAACCCGGAGACATTGAAACACATGACTTGCGTTAAATTGTGCTTAGGAAATGTACTATGTACTAGAAAAATGTGTTCTCTGAGTGCTAGTTTGTGTTTAGTTTGCCATGTGAGCTGTTGTGAGCTATAACGCTAAAAAGGAGAGTCTCTTCGAGGGTTAGTTATGCACCTCTATGCCTGGTTCACACAGCAAGATTTTAAAATTGTTGGCTGATTATCCAAGACTTAGAGACCCCACACCAACGAGGATGAAACACTTCTAGTGTGTGGTGCACAGCCACACAGCAAAGACAACACACCACACACCAACAGATTTTATTCGCAAACATTCAGATTGCAGACTGGAAATCTCACGAGACCTCTTCAGATCAAAAATGAGTTCAGAGTAAATAAATACTGCAGGAGATGAGGACGTTGCAATGGCCATAGTTTGTGGGCCATTTTAACAGAGAAAAAAAACCCAAAAACAAGTCACAAAAACATCTCCAACTTCCAGTGGATTTTCTGGTGAGCCATGGCAGTTTTTCCGTCTTCTGTATTTTGGATTCCCCTCTGTGTTTACATCACCTTGCCTTTTAATTGGCTGGCTACACATCACATTCAACAGGCTGCATGCTTGTTTGTTCTCAGGGAACACCACACATACTGGGATGTCGGGCCAAGACAACTCAACATGTTGAATATCCTCGATTTGATTTGATTTATTGATTCAACAGGAAAAGAGTACTAAAAACCAAGCCTGACTCAGCATAATTGCTGTTTTACAGCAGGTTCCTGTTCTGCAGCACACAAAACACTCAGAAAATACAGCATCACAATCACTTTGATTCGATTTGCGATTGGAGCAGTCTTGACGTCCTTCCAAGCCAATTAGATCACTCTTATCACACTACACATGGCAGAAATAGCTCCTAAAATTATCATTAGAGCCATCACAAYTGCACGATGAGCAAAATCGGGTCAAAATTTTTTAAAGTTTTGGTAATCCCGGGTTCACACAAAGCTATGTGAACCCGGCGTTACCAAAACATTTAAAATCTAAACATGATCTTCCGATCTTGACATTATGTACAGGTAGGTACTGGTCAAAAGTTGATTTATTTCAATAATTCCATTCAAAAAATGAAACTTGTATATTATATGCATTCATTACACACAGACTGATATATTTCATATATGTTTATTTCTTTTAATTTTGATGAATATAACTGACAACTAATGTAAACCCCAAATTCAGTATCTCAGACAATTTGAATATTGTGAAAAGGTTCAATACGGAAGACACTTGGTGCACACTCTAGTCAGTTAATTAAATCAAAACACATGCAAAGGCCTAATTGGTCTTTCAATCTAGTTCTGTAGACTACTCAATCATGGCACCTGCATACAGTGCCAAAGCTACCGGTACCTGGTTTGAGGACCATGGTATCCCTGTTCTTAATTGGTCAGCAAACTCGCCTGACTTTAACGCAATAGAAAATCTATGGAGTATTGTRAAGGGGAAGATGGAATACACCAGACCCAACAATTCAGAAGRGCTAAAGGCCACTACCAGACCACCTGGGCTCACACCTAGACTGATAGACTCCATGCCATGCTGCATTGCTGCAGTWATCCAGGCAAAAGRAGCCCCAACTAAATGTTGTACATACTCATACTATCTTCATACTTTTCAGTAGACCAACATTTCTGAGAATATTTTTTTGTATTGGTCTTAATATTCTAATTTTCCGAGATACTGAATTTGGGATTTTCATTAGTTGTCAGTTCTAATCATCAAAATTAAAATAAACATCTAAAATATATCAGTCTGTGTAATGAATGAGTATAATATACAAGTTTCACTTTTTGAATGGAATAACTGAAATGAATCAACCTTTTCATGATAATCTAATTTTATGACCAGCACCTGTGGGCCTATATGCTGAATGATCTTGAGAGGTCTCGTGAGATTTCCAGTTTGCAATCTGAATGTTTGCGAATGAATTCTGTTGGTGTTGTCTTTGCCGTGTGGCCTATTCGCAAATGAAAAACACAGACTAGATGAGTTTTAGTACAGCTATCCTGTTGTATTTTGAGTTTGTCTAATAAAACCTCAAGAACTTCTGTAAAATTGTAAAAAGGATTTGTCTCACTTAATATGCATCCACCAGTACATTAGCTTCACTTCAACCTTCACCACTTGCTCGACCACAGCTGATGGATCTGAACTGAGTAAACACCCTTGACTCCACCCTAGGTATGGAAACAATTTACAATCCAATGCTGATAATAGGTAAGTATTTTTCCTTAGCGTCAACCCTGTTGTCACAAGTTAATAGGTTTTTTTTTTTCAGTTTAAGACATATTAACCTTGCCATTAAGGCAGTGCTTGTTTTGAACCTTTATCTAAAATCTACACCAAAATAAAAGTATATACGGTTTAGAAAACGGCACTGAACAGGACGTACTTATTACCCGTTCTTGTGGGTTTATTTTTGAACAAAACTGGGTGTTTTTCTTCTGGTCTCTTTCTGGCTGTTTTTCAAATCCGAAAGAATGGGATACAGAACAGTTAAACACTTTTAGACTAAGTGTAGCTAAAACCTTTCTCCAAAATGAATCTGGATTATGGTACTTGACTATGGTTTGACCTAACTGACCTTTTCTATACTACAAAGTACCCACATGATGAGCACGGTATGAGTGTGCCTTTGCATTTAGAGGTTGCTGAGTCACAGTCATTCAAATAAACACAGTGACTCAAGATTAACCTGTGTTTGACTAAGCCTGAATTATATGGATCAGCATCACATTTAAGGCCAAGATGACAAGCGTGGAA